AGGGGACCTTAGACTATCACAGCTGTGCTGATGTTTTTATCCCACGGGGAGACACAGCAATTCTGAAACAAGAGTTCTTTTGAGACTGAGCTGGGGAGGGCTAAACATAACAAAATAATTAAAATAACAACAATAAAACCAACCCACGCCAAAAAACCCACAGGAAGGCAGTTGGTTTCCTACTTTTACCTGCTTGCCAGCATCTGCTTGTTCACTCCCTTGGAATTAGTGATGTTTTTGGACTTTTGTCTATTTCTATGTCTGAAATGGAGCACGACCCTATGGTCCTTGTCCCCCATGTCCTCTGCCTGCCTTCTGTCTGTGGAAAAACTAGCCAAAAAAATAAGTTAATCAGAGAAATGAGAATATGCAGAAACAAGGAAAACAGTTAAGAGAAACCAAATAATAGTTTAGTCATTAAGCATAGTCAAGGACCTTTGGTTCCTCCTCCAGGGCTACAGATAATATTCTGAGCTATATCCTATGAGCCGTCTTATAGGTACTGAAACCCCCACCAGGTAGAAGTTAAACTGTATACTGAAACCCCCACCAGGTAGAAGTTAAACTGTATGACGACCCGACCGTAACCATGACATAGCTGCCACAATTCCTAGAACTGGCCTCAAGGAAATGGGAACAAACTGACCGTAGAATTGAAGACTAGCTATCACTGATGACCAATTTCAAGGTGACTATCAGAGCTGTGCTGTTTCTGCACATAGCCCCCACCCTCAGCCTATACAAGCTCTAGCCCACTGATGGTCAGAGGAAAGAGTGGGCCTTTGGACAGAAGTCTATCCTCCCCTCAAGTTGTCAGCATCCAAAATAAAGCAAGCTTTTGCCTCTTTATTACCTTCTGAGCAGGGAGCAGCTGGGCCCCACTTATGGTTACATGTTGGGAGTACACTTTTAATTAAGATGTTTCTTCATGAAACTTCCACCACCTAACTTACTTCTAAGAGCCAGAGCTTCTTGATGCTTTCTGGAGGACAAACTGCTCCTTCCACCATATCCAGCCTGCAGTGTCACTTGTTCAGGGAACCAGATGGCTTTAACAGGGCTTCCATCTTAAGTATCTCAGATTAGACTGTACCATTCAAGATTTTCTGCTCTCTGCCCTTCAACAATGGCTTCAGCTTTTTGCCTTCAAGCCTGTCAAACTTTTAAAGTTCTGAGGTTTTTCTTTCTTTCCTTCAAGCTCTTTAAAATACAGATGTCACATTCATCCCTTTCGTTTTTAAATATCATTCCCATCTCACAAAGCATGTTGCTGTGATTCTCTTTCCCTTTTAGGAAAACAGAATTTTTGTATTCTCCAAATATTCCAGTTGGGATGGTTACACAGTACCTTAATTAAAGCATTTTGAGATAGTTAAAAATATACTACTATAATTTATTTTAGCAAAACTGCTTACATAAGAATGTTTGAAATGATACAACATTGTGCCTTAAATCCCTATCACTAAAACCTAAATGCATGGATATTCACACATTCCTTAAATTCTTATGGACATTGATAAAGACCCGACAAAGGATTTGTGTGCAGAATAAAAACTTCCTATAAATCAATCAGTAATAAAAAGACAACACAATGAATACTTGAGGACTTTTCACACAATAAAATGTACAAATGGCCACTAAACATATTAGCAATGTTCAAACTCCCTAATCATCAGATATGCAAATTGAAAGAACAGGAAGATACTACTACATATCCCTCAAAACTGCTAAAACTGAAGACTGACAAGTCAGTCTTTCCAAATGTACTTTTTCACTGTTTAAATGCTAATGCTTAAACTCTAACCTTTTTAGCCATCTAATTAGGAATTATTTAAATTTTAAGGTTTGAAAAGGATTTTTTAAGAAGTTGTGAAAATGTTTTTTTCAAAAACACAAGAAGACAAGACTACCTCATGAATTTTAAAAAGTCAATTTCCCCTACATAAAATTTTGGGCTTTTATGTGTCAGAAATAGAATAAAAAATATTGTTAACTTTTTGGATAGCTAAATATATACTTAGCATTGCTCAACTTCTAGAGTAACTGTCTTATTCTTCAGTCTACTAAAATGAGCTTCAGGGGGTCTTTGCTTGAGATTTTTAAAGTTAAGTCTGCAGCATGTCTAACACGTAAAATTCATTTTTGAGACCTCATTACTGAGTAGACAAGGCTAATTTTTGTCTTAGAAAAAGGTTGTTTCCCAACAAATGAGTATTTTACCATTTTGCCACCTGCTCAAGTAAAACACTGGTGTTGGGCTTGGAGTCATGTGGGAGTGGAAAGTAAAAAATTAAAAATAAATCACTTATCACACATTTCACTCTTATTTTTTCTATAAAAATATAACTCTTTATTAAATAACATGCACAAATATCAACTAGTCATTTATTAAACAGATATGATTTAGAACAAGATTTAAAGAAATACAAATCCTTAGGTACAATTTAGTATCTTGTTCATGATATTTGAATAGTTAAAAAAAAATCACTGATTAAACTAACCATCATTTATTTCTTTCAGAATCCTGTATCATTTTAGTCATAGACTTCATTCCAAGTTTTTTTCTAGCATTTCAGAGCTTCAGAATATCTTTAATATCAAGAGCCCTTAACTACTTACTTAAGTATGAATTCCTCTGGAGAAGGCATTCACTTTTTTTTTTTCCTAAGCTATTCCAATTAGCTTTGAGTCACTTTACAGAGGGAATCTGCAGAAGCATAATCATGGGAGACAGGCTCCAGCAACTTGAGGTACCGTTGAAGAGGGAGAGAACTGTGGTTAGTACTAAGACGCTGGGGTGACTAAAAAAGGCCAGATTTCTGCTTGCTTGGTTTTTCTCTTCTGCAGCTTGTTCTGTTTGGCCAAACAGTGATTTTTTTTTTCCCCCCGTGTGCCCCATCTCTGGTTGAACCATCAGAACAAAATGCTGTATGAACTTCCCCTTCTCATGTTTTCTGTGACTTCAATGCTCAGTAATCTGTTTTTTTTTTACTTTTAGGCAAAAGTATAAACAAAATTTGCATTAATTTTTTCATATTAAAAAGTATTGCTTTTATAAATTAGCCTTTAATGTTCCCAGCCTTAATAAACTTAACTTCAACAAAACCAGTGCTTTAAAATCTACCCTGCCTTTCTTGGCCTCATTTATCCAATAAAAAAGGCCAAAATCTTTCATCTAAATTTCTAAAGACTACTACATCCAATCTTTATAATAAAGTCCTTGCACTGTGTATTTTTCACATGTGCTGCTTTATTGCGCATGCCAAGTACAGTATGAATTAAAATATAAACTGAAGTAAAAATTCAAAACCCCTAAGCTTAATATATACCTTTGCACTCAAAAACTTCAATTTTACATTCTTCCCCATTAGCTGGGACTTCCAACTTGTTAGCTGAATTTAAATCACTTTATTCCTTATATATTCTCTTTTACGTCTATTGGAATAAAAAACATCCAGTATTATTTTATAATTCAAGAAGGTATTACGGAAAGTTCTGTAAATTTTATTTCATATACTTATGATCAATTTTACATATAACCTAATTTTCTTTCCAAAAATGTTTCATAAGTTTAGCAGCAGGTTTCAAATCTGAAATATTCCTGAACATTTAACTGACATCATGTTATAGGAGAAACTGGACTTTTTCTACGTATATTGCTAATTATTTTACTAAAAAACAGCATACCAAATCTTACTTTAATTATAAAATTCTGAAAAGTATGTTTTGCTTCTTGATACAAGGAAAAAATACAACATATTAATTTTTCATAAACATTGCAGAGGTCAATAGGAATATGCCCATTGCTTTTACTTATTGTGACTACCAAGGATTTCTTTCTTGAGTATTCAGTTTTTATTTAAAAGTGCAAAGGTTATTAAGCTTAAAACATTATATTTGAGCAATGTAAAAAAGTTTTACAATGATTTAACATGACCAATAAAATTTATTAAACATATTTACATATATTCACAGATTCTTTCATACTTGAGTATTAAAATAGACATTTACAATTTCAGAATTTTCATTCAAAGGCATTTTTTGGGGGGAGGGAGGAGAATAGGCTCTATTGTGAGATGAAGAAAGAGCTGTTTCTTTGCATGACCAATTCTAAATAAAATGTCCAACATAGTAAGTCAAAGGTCCTACCCTGGGAGACTGGTATGAAACACCTTACACTACCGCCAGGCATCACTGTGGAGAGGGTTAAATTATAGGAAGCATGCAGCTAAGTCACAGTCTCTACAATTCTGTGATGGTAACAAGCTAACGCAGACACGCATGCCTTATTTAAAGGTCCTGCTACCTCAACACACTATCACTACACTCCATACCATACAAACTACAACTTTGGTCCAATAAAACATTAGACAAAACAGGTTTACAATTATCTCTTTGTATATGTTTTGACTACCAATCCCTTTGTATACATTTTGACCATTAATTACAAGATTTACATCTGCACAATATGTATAAAATAAGTTATTAAAAAGGAAGACAATATTAAAACTTTCGAAAAGAAAGCTATACAATTAACTTACAGATAAAATAAACTGAAGAAATTTTGTGCCAAGTTTTCTTTCCACATTAGAAACTATTTGGTAGGAACTGCGCCTTTTAGTTTGTTGATCTATTTTAGCAGACTGTGACAGAACCTGAACACCCGCAGTCACCTCGTACAGAGCGCTAACAGCTTCCAGCGCCATTAGCAGCCCCCTCTGCTCCCTACTCAACTATGACATCTGCCAACGGGCTCCAATGTGAGTCACATTCCACCAATATAAATAGTAGTTTTCAGTTAGAAACTGCTTGGATCTAAGATCCAAAATAATTCTTTTCATTTTTAATAAAATGACAGTGTTTACTACATCACCAACTTTAGTTGAACTTTACTAACAATTGTGAAGGCATAATATTGTGTTTTTGTCAAAAGGCAGCATTCCACAGCACAACACTCTTGAGCCTCATTTGTTTAAGATACCACCAGGAAGTAACAGCTGCTATATAGGAGTCAATTCAAAGTCATCGTTAACATCAACCAGGGGAACGTAAAACTCCTGAATTTCATAGATGCTGATAGATTTATAGGTGGCAGGATCAAGTTCCTGGAGTTTGAGCTGCCATTCTAACCTCTGGACGGCATTTAAAGCTGCAGCTTCATGCTGTTGCCTCATTAAAAGACAGGTCTATTTAAGAGAAGAGAAGAATTATTTATTAAAAACTGCTTTGTTTAAAAATTAATCTCATGCATTGTTTCTTTAGGGAGCAAGATGGATATACTAGGGTATGTGAAGTTTCTGAGTTACGTCCATTTATGGTTTACTCTGTCTATATCGATATCCATACACCAAATCCTTCTGGGCCTGTGATTTCACACTCATCTAACAGACTTCAATTTGAAACTGTTCTTTTGAGCAATAAAATTTCAAGTTATCAGAAGAATTATGAAAATCTAAGGAAGAGTGATTTTTTAAATAATTCAAGCCAAACAATTTTCTTTACAGACTATTGGCAAAATAACATTTCTTGTCTTCCTGTTCTCCCCCTCCTCTTGTACAAAGGATAACAAGCATGAAGACCCACTTCAGAAACAGCTTTTTCTGTGGCAGCTGCACCTTTGATACTAAATTGAATTCAAAAAATGGGCGGGGGGCCCTTTTCTTCATTTATCTTCCAAAGTGTGACCAGCGTGAGGATTCACAGCTTACCATCTTTCATTACCTAACCACTCCTCTATCACACAGCAACAGTTTCTGTTGATGAAGGGGAAGCATCCAGTTAAAGTGAACTTCTAAACATACATACCTTTAATTTGTCGAATTTATCATCCACATCTTGTAACCAAGACATGAACTGTCTTGCATTAAAGCGATCCCTCACAGAAGTTTTACTGTCATCAGACTGAAACAGAGTATTAAAATAGTTGGATATTACAAAATAAAATAACCTACTTTAAAAAATCTATATGCCATTGTATCTTTTTATAGTATATTCTACTTTTAAAGGAATGATGAAAGTATATTTCAAAGAAAGATAACATCTAACCTGAGTATTTAAAAAGGCTGATAAAATATTTCCATACTGAGCTGATTAGTTATTAGGATTATCAGGATGTTGGGTTTAGTAAGTAATTAAAGAGACCCTTACTGCTCTGTGAGTCAAGATGTCTCAAAAAGGCATGTCATATGATGTATTACATGCCTGTGACCTTATTAACATATAACCGATCATGAAACTCATTTTAACGTGACAGTTGGCTCAGACCTGGTAAAGAATCTGCCTGCAACTCAGGAGACCTGGGTTTGATCCCTGGGTGGGGAAGACCACTGGAGAAGGTAATGTCAACCCACTCCAGTATTCTTGCTTGGGAAGAATGGCCAGAGGAGTCTGGAGTGCTGCAATCCATGGGGTCGCAAAGAGTTGGACACAACTGAACTACTAACACTGTCACTTACCACATGTTGGGAGTAAACAACGAGGTGGCAGACAGGGCTTTGGGGCTGACATTTCTCCCAGGACCCAGTCCTTTTGTAGGACCTATTCTCTGGAGAGTTTATAAGGAAATCCTACACCAACTCTTAATAATACCAGTTTTGGTATTTCATTAAGATAGGCAATATTCAAATGTCAGCTTTGTATCCTACTGTGTAATCTCAAACTGATTACATACTCCTTCAATTTTCTATTCTGTAAATGGGGTTAAGAGCATCTCTTTACATCTTGTTTGAGAACTGACTTGTGAAGGCCTTGTTCTAATGCCCAGACAACAGGCAGCTGCCTCCATGACTGCCCTGCCCAACTTGACCACCAGCACCGCCACAGGGGTCTCCAGGCCTCATGCAGCCCCACTACCACACTGCCCACATTCTGAGCTGTGACCACTTTTGCCCTGGTCTTCAGGAAAGATGTGTTGACTATTTTAAATTTTATCATTCAATCCTTTTTAATATTACAAGTTTATCTGGAAAATGAAGAGGTCTGAAAAGAGAACAGCCTACCCAAGGAAGCGGACTTGTTCCTTAGACCCTCTGCAGCTCTGGACAAGCCTGCTCCTCAGTCGAGAGAGACTATCTATCAACTGTAAGGCCAGCCATACAAGGACGGGCAACAGGCCCACAGTCGTTCTCAAGACGATGACTACGTTCTGTTGACTGTGGCGTGATCCTTTTTAGCCTCTGATCAGTCTGGGTTTACTAGGAAAATTCACTTTTCAGAAATTCTCTTTATGACCTGTCTGGGACTCCTTTTTCTCTTTTTAAAAAGATGAGAAAAATTAAGCCCAGAAAGAACTAAGTGATTTTCTCTATAGTATACCGCATATACTTTGTTTCTCTATGGTTGGCCTGATTTAATACAGCATTTCCTGGGACTTCCCTGGTAGTACAGTGGATAAGAATCTGCCTGCCAATTCAAGGTACATAGGTTTGATCCCTGGTCCAGGAAGATCCCACAGGCTGCAGAGCAACTTAGCCCTCGAACCGCAACTATTGAAGTCCATTTGCTGAGAGCCCATGCTCTTCAACAGAAGCTCCTGCCATGAGAAGCCTGTGCACTGCAACTAGAGAGTAGCCCCTACTCTCCACAAGAGAGAAAGCCTGTACATGGCAATGAAGACCCAGCGCAGCCAAATAAATAACTGACTTTTTAAAAAAACCCAGCATTTCCTAGTCTTTTTTGGTGATAATCCTTCATTGTCTTGTGTTTATACTTTTATATTCTCTTATGACAGGTGAATTTCATTCTGGTTTATGAACCACAAAAAAATTCTGACGACTGATGTCTGGTTCTGGATTCCTGAAATTTATATGTGGCAGTTCATGTTTTCAAACTACAGCTACAGTTTCCCATAATTCTTTTAATTTATCCCAACAACACCCAAGATCCAAATAAAGCCTGGTCCTCTCTCAGCACTTACTCAACCCGGGTTCCACCTGCCAATTTTTTTTAGCTTCCAGCTTTAAGCTTCCCAGTTGCTCGAAGGTCAGGGTCGGGGTATAAAATCCATGACAGACACAACTCACAAGTTATCTATAAAATGACGCTATCTTAAACACACACGAATCTGTTCTGTAATTGTCTTGATTTAATGACGTTCAGAGGGCCAGGTGATCTGGAAGTGCTTCACTCATTTTTGCCTTTGTTGTGCTTTACTGACTGCTAAACTCAAGTTTGTCCTGAAGATACCAACTACCAGAGGCGCTGCTGTCCTGGGGGCACTGAGGCAGCAGGGAGACCTTACCTGGGCATCCAGGGGCACGCTGTACACTTCCGCGTCCAGGAGAACCGTGCATGCACTGAATGGCAGTGTCTGATTTGCCAGTGTCCTTGCAGCTCTGTAATGAACCCGAAGAACCTCCTGTTCATTGGATACAATGAGTTTTTCCTAGTTGAATGAAGAATTAAAAAAAAACAACTCTTCAACCACTTGTTTTTTTTTAAAAATCACTTAAAATGTTAAAAGAACTTGAATCTCAGAGCAGTTTCTCCTTCATAGTAAGGCTGATAAATGAGAACTCTGAGAATTCTAAAAGTAAATTTTCTTTCCAGAATTGGCAGTCTCTTTTTAAAAATGATCTTTTGAAAGTGTACAATGATGGCTTTTGTTAATAATATACAGTCATCTACTGGTATCTGTGGGGGATGGGTTCCAGGACCCTTGTGGATACCAAAATTCATGGATGTGCAAGTCCCTTATATAAAATGGCATATTTGCATATAACCTACACACATACTCCCATATACTTAAAATCATCTCTAGATTACTTACAATACTTAAGACAATATAAATGCTAGGTAAATTTGCCAGTATGTGGCAAAATCAAGTTTTTCTTTTTAAAACTTTCTGGAATTTTTTTCTTGAGTATTTTGATCCACAGTTGGTTGACTCCATGAATACGGAACCTGTGGATATGGCAGGCTGACTGTATTTACCAAGATGTATTACCAAGATGTTGTTACCACTTAACTCCAGGACATTTTTGTCACCCCAGGAAGAAATACCTGGGCCCACCAGCGGTCACTCTGCATTCCCCTTCTGCCCCTGGCAACCTTAACTCTACTTCTGGTCTCTATGAGTTTACTTGTTATGAACAGTTCATACAGGTGGAATCAAACTGTGTAGTCTTTTGTGACTGGCTTCTTTCGTGTCACATGTTTTCAAGGTTCATCTGTGTTATAGCACACTTCACTTCCATTCATTTTTACATTTTATTTATCTATTCATCAGTTGACGGCTCCTTTGGGACATAGTGAATAAGGCTGCTATGAACATTCATGCTCAATTCTTTGTTTGAATGTGTATTTTTATTTCTCTTGGGTAAATAACTACGAGTGGGATTGCTGGGTCATATGGTAGGTTTATGTCTAATTTGTTGACAAATTGCCAAAATGTATTCAACAGCAAACTCCGGGAGTTGGTGATGGACAGGGAGGCCTGGCGTGTTGCAGTCCACAGGGTCACAAAGAGTTGGACATGACTGAGCGACTGAACTGATTCAACAGCAGTTGTGTCATTTTATGTTCTGGCCAGCAAGGTAGAAGATTCCAGTTTTTCAAACCCTTGCCAACATTTGTTATTATCTGTCTTTTTATTATACGCATTCTAAGTGTTCTGAAGTGGTACCCCATCATGGTGGCAGGGTGGAGGCTTCTCTTCTGTAACAGCAAGGCGTTTGTAACATGGCTACACGCATAGATGAAATATACCACAAGCTTGTGGCTGAAACGGCTACTGATGTGGGTTATATGACCTAACTCCTTTCTGCTAACAAACTGTTCACCAATGTGGGTCATGCAGTGTTGTAAGTTGTTTGAGTGCGTCTTTATTTGCTTTTCTCTTTGTAATACTATAACTTTATTTCATTCATTTACAAACATTATTCTGAGCAAAGTTTTATACAGGAATCCATGGCACAAAAAAGGTTAAGAACCTCTACCTTAGGGAATCAATCATGAATGAAGAAATTACATACAATGTTTTGCTTGTATAAGAATCTATGTGTATGTCTGTAAAGAAGGGTCACAGCTTATATCACATTTTCAGAAAGTCCCTGACTGTCCAAGAAGAGATATAGAAGGTAATTTTTCATTTTTATCAATCCAAGTTACTTTGATGATTTCTATAAATAATTAGATAGGTTTGTTCTCTTGTCATTTCATGACAAAACTAACCACCAGAAACTGGAATACTAAAGCAGACCTAAAGGGACCAAGGAGCGCAGCCTTAGTATGATTCTGCACCATGGCAGCTGGTACCAAGCAACAATCTCAGAACCTGGAAACCCCTATGTCTAGACAGGAATTCACTGCTACCGGCCTGCAGATCTGGCAAATGATACTGAGAAATTTTAAGAGGTTTCTGTATATCAAATAAATCCTGAACATAAATTGTAAAATAGGAACGGCTATCCAAAAACAGGCTTAAAAATTCTCCATCTTATTGCAGAAGAACAAAGATAAAATCAAGCCATTTCCCAAAATGGATCTAAACAAGGAAGATTCACTAATAAGAAACTATAGGCCATCATAATCTACTGTTAAAAGTTATTTTTTGCATAAGTGAATTTAAACATTTCTTACCCTTTCAATACTGTGCTGCAAACGTAGTTTCATCCTGACAACTTCCTGTTGTCGAAAAAGCTCTTTAAGTGGATCTGACAGTGAAGGTGGGGGTGTAATCTAATGAAAAAAATAAAGAGTTGAAAATATTAGATTTCATTTACAATAATCAGCTAATCCTATAAAATTAAACCTTTTTAGTGCAGAACATAATGCAAACATAAATTCTTACGTTCTTTGAATTAAATAATATAGTAAGTAACAATTTCACAACTGGTTGTTACTTTTCAACTCTGAAAGAAAGCAAAACATTTCAGAAAATGTACACATTTTACTTCTGAGGCCACAGCAAATCCCAAAGAGCAAATCAGGATGGAGGGAGTTGTTTACCGCAGAGACACGTTTTAGAGTGTCCGTATCTGACAGTTCACAGACAGGGAAGGAGGAATAACACACAAAAACACTGAACAAACAGTCCAAAAGATGACGGCAGTCTGAGTGTACAGTAAGTCAAGTCTCTCTGCAGACATGATAAAATCCAAACACAAAACTGCAGAGTCTTAAAACAAAAAACGAACAAACAACAAAAAAAACTGCAGAGTCTTGTCTTTAGCGAGTTAACTTTTATAAAAATAGATGAAACTGTCTTCTAACAGAGCTGTGGTTTTCAAACTTCATTACAAATGTTGATACCTCACTTTGTCTATCCATTCTCCAAAGAGCTTACAGTTAGTTCACCTCTGATTTGATTATCATGAACTGTGCTTTTTGATAGATGCTGGAGCTTAAGAAAGCTGACTTACTCTCAAGCGTTAATACAGAGAGACATCCAAGTATGGCAGTAACTGTCTGTGATCCCTGCGTATTCTCCCTCTGCCCCCAGCTTTTAATAACTGTCAACATACTAGAGTGAAGAAACAAAGTTTTCTCAGAACATCCTGGCACAAAGAAGTAACTTTGGGGGACTCTTTTGGCAGGGGCACAAGGAGATACTGATGTGGGGCTGCAGGGACAGTGTAGCACTATACCTGAAACACTTGCCAAAGATGCAGAACTGGACCTAATCAAGACTCTATTTATAAACAGTAGACAGTTTAACACCACTAGGATTCAATCAGTTGAGTCAATGAAGAATATTCTATAAAACAACTTATTGGGGCTGATCATTTTTCAGGTCTCTAATTATACATTTGACTTGTGTCTTAAAACTTCTTTAAATTTAGTAAGAGGCAAGAGTACAGTTTGGTGCTATTATTTCAGTTTTGAAAAAATCACACAGGCATCCTTCAAGTGGCACAGGGAAAACACCTCCTCCTTTAAGACTGGAGTGTCAGAGAAGGCTTCTCTAAGAGGGTCATGCCCTAGCTCCACCTTAAAGGAAGAGCCGGAGTAAAGAATTCAGAGAAGTAAGTTGTGGGGGAAAAGAAAGAGAAAGCAGGGAGGGAGCTAATCCATACAGGAGAGAACAGTACGATCACCTGCTGAGACAAGCAGTCTGGTGTCAGGAGGCACCTGCAGGCAGGCCTGAGCTCTGGAGCATGACAGCAGAGAGGGCAGGATGGGGAGAGCGGCAGGGCCCAGAGCTACAGCCTGCAGTCTACCCTGCACACAGTGCTTCTCCAGGCACGACTCACGGAACGCTGGGGCCACAAACATGGCTTACAGGAAATGGCCCCAAACGAGTGAGGCTGGGAAATACTGTGTGTGTGTATACACACACACACACATAAATATACTTATTTACATATCTCATAATTAACAAATTAAATTTTAACAGTTTTAGAAATCCTACAGTGAAGAAATCTATTTTTTGATTAATGATGTTTCCCAAACTTATTTGGTCATAAAAAACACCCCTCTTTCCCCACTGAAGAAAGTATTTAATTAACATGCTGTGCAACACATATTATGTGTAACACATTGGGGTAAATTCTGTATGTAATAGAGAACCAGGGAAAGGTCTTAACAGCTCACAGCTGTACTGGAGAACAGCTATTAGGAGGACGTGACTGTAAGCAAGGAATGAAGAAAGCAGGTCACTGCTGCACTGGTGTGAGAGGGGGAGGCAGTGAAAGGGATGTGGTCTAAAATGTGGGTGACTGAGTGAGGCTAAAAAAGAGGGAGCAGCTGAGGACTCGCAGCTCCTTCAGCACTAGCACTGGATGGCTGCTAACAGAGACAAGAGGGGACCCAAGGAGAGAGAAGCAGGTTGGGGCAAGTTCAGTGCTGAAATGTTGAGTAGACCAGCTAGTATAATAGAAGTCAAGGAGAGAGGTTTGTGCAGAATATATAAATCTGGGAATTCTCAAAATACATCCATCTGTAGAGAAGGAGTATGTGGAGACTTTTTTTTTTTGTGGAGACTTTTTTTTTTTTTGGGAGACTTTTTGAGGACACTTTCCCTCTGCTTTTTCCTCATCTTGTCCCATGTTGTGGGACATTCAGAAGACATCCAGAAGCACGTAGAACACAGTTACGGAAGTCAGTAGTGTATTCAGGTTTGAAGACAGAGGCAGGCATCATTCTCCAAGAGACCTGCAGTGTCCCAGCCCTTCATAAGATTACAGCTCAAAGGGAGAAGCAGGCCTGTAAACAGTTAACTGTAACATCCTGGGGAGGTTTAAAGACACAAGCAATTCTGTTCCGACAAGATCCTGCCCAGTGACATCACAGCTCACACGATGACGGGAGAGAAAAATGGCCCTGGTGAAGACAGCATTCCATATAGAGGGAACAGCACTGCCAAAGGACCCAGGCAGCAAGCAGAGACTCCACAGAAGAGGGGGGCTCAGTGTGGCTGAAAGGCTGGGTGACTTGGACGAGTGGTGAGATGAAGCAGGGGTGGGGAGATGGGTCAGGCTGCTGTGCTCAGATGTAGGTTTTTATGTGTGGCCAATGGGGAGCCAGCTAATCACAGCTGAGATACCTCAACAGGGAAACAGCTTTTCATTGTTTTTAAAGGGACATAAATTTAACAACAAACGGAAGGTGCCAAAAGAAAGAAACTAGGAGAAAAAAGAAGTGGAAAAATTGCTGCAATGCTGAAGTGAGAGATACTGATGAGGGCCCTGGAACAAGCAGCAGAGAACGTTGATTCTGGAATGAGTCCTCAGATCTAAGGGATAGAACCTGGTTAACTGATGGGTTTCTACTATGGTGTCATCACCAATAACGTGTTTGTCAGGGAGTGGGTGGGGGGTCCTGTTTCAAGGTCAGAGGTCGGAGTGGGTGCCATTAGACCTGCTTTCTGGAAAGAGAGAGTTGGTGGCCAAGGCACCGCAGCAGCTCAAGTTAACCTTCCCCACCCAGGGCAGGCTCTCCGCCAGAGGCTCCCACAGGTGCATGCAGTCACTGCACTCACCTCAGGGCACCTGCCTGCTCTCCTCAATTCCACTTCCCTCACACACACAGGCACAGCTCCTGACAACTCCCACCTACAGCCCTCCTGGAAAAGCCTCAGGGTCAGCATACTGGGGAACCAAGCCTGGGACATGTGCCTGAGGTCATTTAACGGACTGTGCCCAGGAGGCACCTGCCATTTGATTCTAGAGATGATGTGGCTCAACAGGATGTTTTGGGACTAACTGCACATCAAAAGCTGCTGAAATCACAGAAAGAGACAGGAACCTTGCTGACTGAAGAATTAACTCCTGGAGAACTCTGATGTTTAAGGGGTTGGTATAAGAGCCATAAGAAGACAGAAAAAGATAAGTGAGGCAAGAGAACCAGAAGAGCACACCATCATGAAAAACCAGGGAGGGGAGGAGTTTATGAAGAACCAGATGGTCATGAAGTTGAATGCGACAGAGAGCAAGCAGAAAGAAAAAGGGAGAGGTCAAACAATGAGTCAATTTGGAGCTCATGGGGGATCTCTGCCAGTGCACACACAGTGAATGGATGAACAGGAAGTGACACAGAGGGGATGTTGGGCACAGACCACTCTCCAAAGTGCGGTGTGAGATCACTCACTAGGCATGACCAAGTGCCACAAGCAAGGGTAACTTTTTTCTCCCCAGGATGAAGGAGACCCAAATATGTTCAGTGGATGAGTAATGGCCAGTGAAGAGAGAAACTGTAAAAATACAGTAGTAAGAAGTGTTCTCATAGAGGAAGGTTCCAAAGAAGGCTGGAGGGAATGGAATCAAAAGGATAAGGAAAGGAGTTACCCTTCAAAGAAATAAAAGCATTAACTCCTTAGGGTTGAAAGCAGCAGCGGGTAAGAAACAAAATACCAAGGAGCACTGCTGTTCAGTAAGGTAGCACAGACCACACATGACTCCTGAGCACTGACTGATGCGTGGCTGGTCTGAACTGAGACGTACTGCAAGCCAGCCTAGTTTCAAATACTCAGCACCAAAAAAAATACCTATGTAGACTATCTCAAAAGCTTTTCTATACTGATTATATTTTCACACAGAATTGTGGATATATTGAGTGAAATATTAATTTCACCCATCTCCTTTTACTCTTTAAAATGTCAAAAGTCAAATCACTCAGTCGTCTCCGGCTCTTTGCAACCCCATGGACTATACAGTCCATGGAATTCTCCAGGCCAGAATAGTGGAGTGGATAGCCTTTCCCTTCTCCAGGGGATCTTCCCAACCCAGGGATTGAACCCTGGTCTCCCGCAATTCAGGTGGATTCTTTACCAGCTGAGCCACCAGGGAAGCCCAAGAATACTGGAGTGGGCAGCCTATCCCTTCTCCAGCGGATCTTCCCAACCCAGGAATCAAACTGGAATCTCCTGCATTGCAGGTGGATTCTTTACCAACTGAGCTATCAGGGAAGCCCCCATTAAAATGTGGTTACTAGAAAACTGAAGACTACACATGTGACCTCCATCACATTCCTACCAATGGGGCTGCAAGTGTATGTCAAGTGAGGCTACTTACTGTGGGTATGCAGATCTTGCTTAAGGGGTTTCCGTCCAGGAGATACGACCCATTAAACGTCACATATTCATCATAATACTGAGGTGCCTGAGGGATCACACTACATAACAACTTGCGCTTTTCTTCAATCTTTTTTCTTATGTGCAAGTATTCAAAATAGGGATTTGCGCGCTCTGAGCTGTATGGCTGGATCTCATCGAGCTTCAGCGAGTCCACAATGGCGGCCAGGGACTGCTGGGTTTTCTCTTTTGCTTGCAGCAGAGAGGGACTCACTTGCACGGGCTGAGGCACCCGAGACACTTTCCTTTTCCGCGGGTGGTGAATCTGAGGGTCGTCCTCCTCAGTTAATCTTATTCTTCCTCGAGGGGATGCAGATTCACTGTCTTTGTCTGGTAACAGAGCGCAGCTGGCCAGAAGCTGCTTGCTTTGACTGGCTCCTGTGTTGCCTTTGTTTCTGGTCATCCTTTGAGGGATATGGTTTTCAGGTTTATCATCTTCAGCACTTTCCTCTAGTTCTACTTTAACTAAGTGTCCGTATTTATGCATTTCTGGTGGAGCCGATGGCTGTGGATGGTTCTCTAGACTCGATAAAGTACTCTGTTGTGACTCCTCATCCTCGATGGAAAGCAAACACTTCTCACTTTCAGGACAAGGTTTTGGATTATCTGGTTCACTCAGGTTTCCTTTTGGCACCCCTGCATTCATTTCACATAAATCAGAATCACACTTATCGTTCAAATGAGTCAAAACCAAACTCTCCAGTTTGTTTTCTTTTTCATGTGAAGTATCCTGAGTATCAGTAGTGCTTTTTTCAGCCTCATGGCCACTGGAAGACTTAAACATTAGCTTGCTAAATGTGTAATGAGGATTTGGCTGGGAAGACGAATCACTTCCATTAAAGTCCTTTTCTGATGGCAATACTGGCAAAGTACTAGCTTTCTCAAAATTTGGTGCTGCTTCTTCAACAATGTTTTCAGAGTACACTGGGACAAAGGCATCTGTCTTCTGAACGTCCGTTAGGACAAAAGTATTTTCCGTATCTTTTGTAGGTTCAGTATCAGTATCCAAAACAGAACTGATCATTTGAATTGCATTTTTCTGCTGCAGAATACCTGGTTCTTGAGCGGTGACATAGGACAAAGAAGTATGTCTGGAAATAGATTCACCATCTGAAAGTGATTGGCTGTGAGAAGAGCAAGGTTGCTGTGAAGCGAGAAAGGATGCTGGATCCTGAGCACAAGTGTTTCCTGGCAATTCAGTCTGGTGCACGGACACAAAATCAATATTCTGTTCTCTCAATACTTTGTTTTCAGGATTACAAAAACCCTGAACAGAAGAATCTTGATCAGGTGCAGCAGAATTTGGGCAGCTAAAGTCTCCGGTGTTTAACGACTCCATCTCCCATGACTTACTTTGGATCACACCAACCTGATTAGACGGCTCTAAATGCACAGGACTGCCCATCAGCGTGCCCATGGGAGCAGTGCCCTTGATGACATTTGTATCAGTAGAATTATATTTGCTGTTTACAGATCTAGTTGGAGAGGCTGCAAAACTGGAATGTACGTGAACGCTCAAAAGTTCTCTTTCAGGCACACTGGAGGATACCTCAGATTTGGGAGAAGGACAAATCTCTCTTGGCACAGCTGAGCCATCTTGATTGCTCTCTTCTGATATTGTTTGAAATTGCTTTGTATGCTCACAAATGACAGAGGGTATGCTACATCTTCGGGCTTCTGCAGCTGATCTCCCTTCATTTGTAACTAGTTTAGCATCTTCAATAGAAGATGCCCGGAGATGGGAGGTCAGAAGCCTGCTAGCATACGATGCTTTAATCCGCTCTGATAGGTCAGTCAGGCTATCCAGCTCTCTGTCATGAAGGGCAGGAGATTTGGCAACTGGCAAAAACGGTGACTGGGAAAAGGACATTTGGGAATCTGAACCCTCTAACATAAAGTCTGAGTCATACTCAACTGGAGGCCTTGGGGTTGTCATTGTAGTAAGGCAGGAATCTTCTGAGCTAGCCACTGAAATCATGGAGACAGACCTGGAGCTGAGACCTGGCTTTTCACTTTCTGATCTAGGAGACCTGTTCAAGCTATTATCTGAAACAAAGGATGACTTGCCTAAACTCGCCGTATTTTTGGTGTCCACAGATTGGGATCTGTTACTTACAGCATCTTTACAGTGTTTCTCCTTAGTGTAAGTATCAGTCAACTCAGAACTCTTTGACCTAGTAAGTTCTTTATTTTTGGACTCAGCTAGTCCATGCTTTGTTTTTTCCTTATCTTTTACTTTAAGTTCTAAACAATTGCGATTTCTCAACCGTTCCTTTTCTTTTTGTTTAATCTTTTCCTTGTGTTTTCTGTGCCACTGCTCTATTTCCAGGTCTTTAAGGCTTAGCATCCGTTCAAAGCTGGTCTGCATTAAGTCGTCATTCACGAGCCTCTTTTCTTTGGGCCGAGTATCCTTTGACGCTGGTGATGACTTAGGTTTAGGCTTATCTCCTTCGGATTTTAGTTTGAGTGAACTACTCAGTTGAATTTTATCCTTATGTTTGTCTCGTTCTTTATATCTATCTATATCTTTATCTTTTTTATCTTTTTCTTTTCCATCAGGAGTTCTCAAAGGTTCATCTTTTGTTTTTTCTTTGAGAGAGAAAGTTTTTTCATGTTGTGCTTTATTACTGTCTGTTATACTTGACTTTCTCTCTTCCTGGAAGTGTTTGGAATTACTTATATTTACACTGTCTCTAGATTTGTCCTTTTTATCTACCTCCCTATCTTTTTCTTTATTTTTGCTTTTTTCTGATTTAGTATAGTCACTATTATCTGATGGCTTGTTTTTTTTTTCCATCAAGTGCTTCTCTTTGCTCTCTGCTGGATGTCTCTCTTTCTCAGGTTTTTCTTTGTCATGTTTCCTATCCATCTTTTCTCTACTTTTATCTCGGTCATCGTTTTTTTTAACGGTAGTAATGTTTTTTAGCTTCTCACCTTCTCTATGGCATTTTTCTGTGTGATGTGAATATAGCTTGTCCTTTTCTTTTATTCTGTCGACACATTCACTAGGATCTAATCTGTCTTTCTCTGACTTATGCTCATGTTTTATCTTCTTCTCTTTTTCAGAATTTTTTCTGTCAGCCCTCTCAATGTCCTTATCTTTGGTCTGAAATCGTTTCTCAGATTTTTCCTTACTTTCTTTCATATGCTTTTCAATTTCTATTTCCTTTTCCACTGAATGTAACCCTATAGTCTCTTCAGTGGCACTTACACCTAAAGAGCTGAATTCTGTTTCTTTATCTGTAAGTACATTCTCTCGCTCATCTTTTAAATCTTTTATTTTTTCCTCCCTAAAAGATTTTTCACTTTCCTTTTTAATCTTTTCCCGTTCGGGAAAGTTTCTCTCTTTGGAGATATGCTTTTCCTTGGTTGATTTATCATCTTTAATGTTTTTCTCCAACTTTGACTTTTTTTCTAATGTTAGGGACTCATGTTCCATACTTAAAAATAGATCTTCGGTTTCATCACTTTTAAAAAAATTCTCTTTCCAAAACTCTCTATCAAATTCCACACTCCGTTGCAGCTCTTTAGTACCATCCCTACTTTTGTACTTTTCCTTTTCACCTTCAATTTCTTTTTTATGCTTTTCTTTTTCCCTTTCTTTATGTTTTAACTTATGTTTTTTTAATGTTTTACCCTCTTTATCCATTTTTTTCAGTGTGCAATCTGAATTTTCAAATGTTGGACTGTGATCATCATCTTTTATTTTGGCATTTGACTTCTCACCAAATTCTAAGTGGAAATCTTTATGATGTTTGTTTTTTTCCTTATGCTTACAAGATTTTACACTTGAACTTTCTGGCAAGAATTCAGATTCTATATTATCATACCGAACAAGATCAGGCTGTAATGACATTTCAGAACTTCCTGGTGATAAACAGGTTTTAGAATGTTCTTGTTTTAGTGGTGTTGACTGCTTTTCACTGAGTCCACAAGAATGTTTGGGAGATTTACCACTGGAAATATGAAATAAATGTAATGAAGTATCATCTTTTGGGCTAAAAGATTTCCTAAAATTCCCCTCGTCTCTGGTCTTATCTGAACAATCTAGTGTAGTATTAACTGTCAAGTTTGTTACTCTGGTATTTTCTTTCCCCTCTTTTTCTTGCTTCAGCTCTTGGTTCTCTTTATTTTTGTTCTGGTTCTTTAATTTTCTTTTAACTTTGCCTTTCTGTTTGTGTTCATTTGAAACTCCATATTCCTTTTTGGTTTGAATATCAGAATTTGATGTTTCAGGGAGAGAACATGGAGCAGAACATGGAGCAGAACACTTTTTGTTCTGAAGAATTTCTTCATCTGAACTTTCAGAACTTGAATATAAAACCCTAGATGGCTTTTGTTTTTTACTTTTAAATGATTTAGGATAGAAAGCTTTTTCCTGTTTTGCAAATAAACTATTCTTTTCTACTTCAGATTCATTCTCTTTTCGCAGTTCTTTCCTAAGAATATGTCTGTCATCAATCATTTTATTTATTTCCTCTTCATCATCATCTTTGAACTCATACTCATCAAGGGCAGATGGAAGAGGTGCTTTACTGGGAAGTATCTGTTTACTTTCACAGATGAGAGAGTCTTTCTCTGTCTCAGAGTCAATATTTTCATCAATGCTGGAAGGATTTACTGACTGAGCCTCTTCAGAATCTAGAATATGAAAAAGAAAATCTCCTGTTAGTCAAGAGACAACTGTCAGGAAAATAATACTGAGAGAAAAACATAGTATATACAGCAAATACTTCAATTCTGAAAAAATTTCATATTTATATGTAAATAATACAATGAAAAAATATGTAAGAGCTCTGCTACAGTTTTCTGGAAAAGCTTCAGAGACTGCTTCAGAATGAGACCTCATGACATCTGTAAAAGCACATAATACACTGGACATACTATATATATATATAAAAACTAATATTAAAATATATGAACAATATAATTAAGAGGTTCAAAACTCCAAGGGGCTGGATTGAGGGAAACATTGGCTACTAATGTAAAAAATAAAAAAATCATTTTGTGGCCACATTATGTGGCATGTGGGATCTTAGTTCCCCAATCAGGGATCAAACTAGTGCCTTGAGATGGAAGGATGGAGACTTAATCACTGGACCACCAGGGAAGTCCTCTGTAAACTTTTATATATATGTACATTTTCTTTTTTCCTGGAGAGAGAATATTTAAGTAAAATTCTTTGATGCATAAAAGATTAATGATCACTAACTTAAAAACTTTAATTAAATAAAAATTATAATTATTTTATATGCTTCAGAATTTTTTTTACTAGTAAAAGCATAAATGATCAAATGACTCCCATAAGGACAGAACTTGAATAAAGGTGAACGGTTGTAACTATACAAGAAACATGACTGTCAGCTTTACCACCTGTAAAAAAAAAAAAAAAAGAAATATATCCCCCAATTACAACATCAAGATTGTAACAGATAGACTGATATATAATTTGAAAAAAGCTACTTTATTCTTTAGCTCTTTTATAGATTTTTTTCCTTCCTAGTTGGGCATCTTTTCTTAAGTGAAATGTATGTTGTATGCATGGAGCCTCCAACTGCAAAGAAAACCCAGGCCTGTAAAATTAAAAGAAAACTGAAGACTCTGACCAAAAGAAAACATCAAACTTCACTTTTTTGGCTAAACATATAACAATATAAAGGTAATCAATTTATTTGAATACATCAAGTTTCCCCTAAGAGTAATCTAGCTCTCAAATATTCTTTACATGGAAACTCAAATTGCAGAAGCATTTTAGAGTGCCTGTAAGGTTCTGAGCACTGGACAAGAGCTCTGGAGAGATGTGGAGAAGATGTATTAATATTCTAATACATTAGTTGCCAAATGAGTGACAGTTATATTGACATGTGGAATTTAAAAAAAGAACATTTTTAGAATGACAATTGCTTATAAGCATAACTCTCCATTCCCAGTTCTTAATACTGCAATATAGAGCATCAAACTGTAGAACTTTATGGTGCAAAAAAGGGAACAGCTGTTTTGGAAGTAGTATTTGTTCTGCTCCTCGACTAAATAAAAACAAGAGTATGTACTTATATGACAGGTGTTATTTTCCTTGTTGGCACCTTATTTACAATTTGTTCTTAAGGACTTTTCTCCCCTTGCAGTTTTTAAGGAGTGGATGTTTTATGGTTTGTATATAACTATTCTATTCTTTCTCATTAGGTTAAGTTTAACTGGAAACTGGGAATGATTTTTTTCCCTTGTATATTCCTTAACACCTCAAGTAGACACTAGAATCAATCTTAAGTAAACATTTAGTATGCTTCTCTAGGCACAGAGTGCTCAGCGGGAGGTGTGATATGATGAAAAGAACACAGCTCTGCAGAGTTACAGTGACTCAGCCTGATGATGACTCAGATGGCTGTTGGCACCTAGTCTAAAGGGTGCAGGTAACCTTCTCCAGTCAGTACCTGGGAAAGGGGAGCAGGCTTCCGACAGCAACAGCACTGAATGGGGTGGGAAGGATATTAGGAACTTCAGGCAGACTTCAGGGTGTGAAAACAACTAATGTAACAAAAGGCAGCGCAAACACAGCATGTCCCATTTCATATACAGCTTTTTTTCATTCAATAGTTGCAGACATTTTCTTTTAAAGTTTCATTTTCTTTATTACTGTTTTTAAGGGCTGCATGCTACATGGAGTTAATATGTAATCACGATATACCGTGATGACAGTGTGGAGTCACCCCGGGAGGAGGATGGCAGCCTGGCTCTGGCCACTGAGTTACACCTGCCCACCAGGCTCATTCCTCTGCATGTGGGCTCTCAGTACTGCCAATCAGGACCCGGCATGCTCTCCTAAAGCTGGCAATTCTGGGACCCCAGCGATGACTCTACATATGTGATGCCATTCCACTGGCAGACCAGGTTCAAATCCCTTTTTTTCCCTAAGGAGTCCTAAACCTTTCTGATTTACTATACCCAGGACTATGGATAAAGCTGGTCTTGGAATTCTGGCGCAGTAGTAAAAACAAACATGTTTGCTCCACCTCTCTTAGGATAGGGAGAAATTCACCTAAGAATCCAAACCCGAAAGCCCTTGTACTGAAAATGGCCATGGTCATCGTGATGTGACACCGTTTTCAATTTGGTTCCAACTTTTTTTTGTCTTTACTATCTATTTAGTTACCAGATTTGAACTTGTATTTAAAACAGTTTACTGAATTATTTCTGATAAAAAAGCTCCTTTAAAAAATATCATGTTTATCATTTCAACAATTTTCTTTGGGAAATGAGGAAGACGAGTAAGAAATAAGCAATCATTAAAGCATTAAATTTTTCATTATTTTGTTATCTGTGAAAAACTGCTAAATAACAAAATAAAATTTAACTGATTAAAAATGCAATACATTTGAAAGTTGCTCTTGTACATCTAAAGGCATTATTTGGAAAATAGTTTTCCTGAAATTGAAATCATGGAGATGCAATAAGCAAAATCCAGATTTTGAGAAAAATTACCAGGCAAATGATTTTTTCAACAACAAAAAATTACAAGAACAAAAGAACGGAAGGGGATATTTACATGACATGGTCAATTTCCAAAATCTAATTCACACACTATGTGTACTATAATCTACTCCTTTCTTGATAAATTCCTCACAAACCTCTCTGACTCTTTGTTCTAAAATATGACAATTGCTCGTTGCTGTCACTTGGGAATTTTTCATCAAAATCTGAATCTTTGTATTTTCCTCTTACACTTTTTTAACCTTGCACTTTAGCTGCAAATGAAATTCTAGGTTCAAAACAGTTTTCATACAACGTCGAGCCTGAAGCTGCACCCATCTTCTCACAACAGCTTTTAAGAACAAGGAATCAGAGTCACTCTGACTGATTCTGGGAGTCTGTAAACTTTTAAACAACCTTTATCCTTGAAGTCGTGATGTAACCTGATGTGGGGTTCTCCCTTTCCATGCTTTTTGCTTTGTACATTCCCCTTTCATCTATAAATATCTTTCTTCAGTTAAGAGACATCTTCAACTAAAAAAATTATTTTCTTCCCAACAATTATTATTTTTTGGAAAAAGAATACTGGATATGCTGGGTATGGTTTTTTTTTAACCATTTTTCTCATATTCCCACTGCACTTTTCAATGTTTTATGTGTTGCCCTTCTCTTAGACCTCAAATTAGATCTTCAGCGATGTCCAGTTTATTCTTTGACCCTATATGGAATGCTTACTTTCAGTAATGATAAACACTTTGAATTTCAAGGACTTTCCTGGCCAACTTTTTCAAGGTGGCGTTCTGTTAGAGTTATTGGATTGACTGCCCCCACCATCATCCCAGCGTCTCCAAGCGCACTGAGAACTTACCCTTCTGCTTCCTATGTAATTTTCATTCTCCAGATCAACTGTTGTGCTTGTTCATTTTGGCCCTTCTTGTTTGTCTTTCAGTTGATTTTCCTCAACTCTCTGGATTTCTTTTCATACTGATAAAGGGAAAAACTGGTTTCTTCAGCAGTTTAATGGAGGACCCTCTACAGCAGGCGTCCCCTGCATGTGTGCGCCATGGTCCCTCTAACCGCAGTCTGTTGCTGAGAATGCGCCTGCAACAAGCTGGCTCTGAACTTCAGAGCCCCTGGGCTCCAATGGGAGGGATATTTGAGTTGTTGCTTTGCTCTGCAATACTCTACTAACCACAACCAGTATACTGAACCTGATTACATAAATATAACTTACGTTCTAGTCAAGGAAGTAACATTAGGAAAAAAACACCGGCATTTTAGAAAACTTATCTTTATAGTTTCCATATCCCTAAATTGATTGTAAAATGCAGTCTAGAGACAGGAAAATAAAATACTGGGTAATTTTATACAGCTTATTCTGAATCTCCATTTCTAAATCTCAATTTAAAATGAAATAAACCTCAATTTTTCTAAATAAAGCTTATTTTAATTTTACTGTATAGGAAAAAAGTAGTCATGTTTAGTACATTTATTTGGAAGTAAGTATGCCATATGGGAATATATTTTCACTGTATTTCTACAGTAACAGGTACAGGTAAAGGAGTTACAGCAAAGAATTTAGGGGTGAGCTGGGGAGAGAAGAGAGGATAATCAATAGGTGAAAACACTGTCTAAAAGCGAAATTGACATAAAAAGTAAAACCAAGTACCACACCACTCTGTACACTCCCTTAGTTATACATTCCTTTCTACCAACATATCAGTCACACAAAAATGAAGTCTATAAAGTATAAATTAATCAAGACTGTCCCCCTCTGAAAATATGACTGGTATCACTACAAAAAATTTGATGTCACTAAAGGAAACTGACAAAAATCACCCAGTCTCGGCTATTCCATCAATACGTGTGTGTGTGTATATATATATATATATATATATGCGTGTATATATATATATATATATATTACATGGAGGTCCTTTAAAACATGAGTAGGTAAAACAAGATGATATAGCTAAGGCTAAACTCATTTATTTGTATACATATATGTAATATTTTAAGTCAAAGGTCTTTTTTAAGAGTTCTGCCCAAATGTACCCTTCAGAGTTTTAGTCTTAAATATTCAGTAATATCTCAAGGACTAAAATAATGTGACAGACTCACTTTAAGTTGCTAGGCACTGGTAGAAACGAGGTTTATAAGAGAAACCATCAAGC